AGAGAGAGAGAGAGAGAGAGAGAGAGAGAGAGAGAGAGAGAGAGAGAGAGAGAGAGAGAGAGAGAGAGAGAGAGAGAGAGAGAGAGAGGTTAGACTGCTGTTTTTTCAAAAGAAAACAAAAAAACGAGGTTGACAAAGTGGATGGAAGGAATGATTGCCTAGTGTGTGTAGGATGAACTTGAAGTTTACACGACTGTCTGGTAGGTTTCTCACAGATCTGTGTTGGTCAATTCTCTATTCTGTCTGGTCTCAGTGGGGCATGCTTGTGGACATTCCGGAAAGATGAGAACCCAATTCGTCTACATGTGGTTTTTCTTATTGAGGAGCTGCTGTTTGTCGCATTTGCAGGAGCCATTGGGGGGTGCTCACGCAGACCCTGTTCTCACATCGAATAATATCAAGCAGACCATTCTGAGACACATGGATGTGAGTTATCTTTTCCTGAGGTGCCTTTACATGCTTGCCCATTTCTCGCTGTGCATGGGACCAAGTCAACATGAATCACTACCCTTTGAAGGGTCGGATGTCTCTGGGATGTCTCCTGCCTGGTAACCAGAGGTCAGGAGGGGGTCGGGAAGCGGGTTTAGGCTAAGCCCCTATGTGAGCGTCTTTTCCTGAGATGGTTCTGCATGGTTGCCCATTTCTCGTCGTTGTGCATGGGACTAACATCAACCTAAATCAGTACCCTCTGGAGGGTGGGGCGTCTCCTGCGTGGTAACCCGAGGTTGGAAGAGGGTATGGGGCGGGTTTATTGAAGTCGGTAAATATAGGGACAGACTAGGAGGTCCATGCTTCTGGTGGAAGCATCGAAATTAGACATTGAGCAAGTGGGGGAGCATCGTAGACTCTTTTCTCTCTTGATGAAAAGGAGGGAGGCCAAGAATAAATAAGGATGGGTGAAGGGAGTGGCTTCCTTTTGGCCATCTCTCCTTCCCTCGCTTTCTTTGCAATTGCAGTTACTCTCATTCCCTTTTTGATGAAGTCTAATCAGTCGCTCTTTCACTGATAACTGCTCTCTTTCTTTCTGTTTTTCTTTTCTTTCTTCTGTTAAAGCTAGACTTCTCTCTCCATCTTCTCTCCCCTTTTTGACGAAGTCTAATCAATTGCGCTTCACTCTGTTGAAACCACCATTCCCTGGTCTCTTTTCCCCTGACCTGGATTGCGTTTCGCTGATGACCTTCTCTTTCTTTCTGTTTTTTTTTTCTTTCTTCTGTTAAAGCGAGACTTCTCTCTCTCAGCTTCTCTCCCGTTTTTGACGAAGTCTAATCAATTACGCTTCACTCTGTTGAAACCACCATTCGCTGGTCTATTTTTCCCCTGACCTAGATTGCTTCTGTGTGCCGGAAAAAGAACGATCCGGCGTGTGTGCTAAATATTTTCGTTTCGCTTGGTGCTCCCAGCCATTTTGGTCCAGTGGGCAGAGCCCCTTTTAAAATGGCAGGCTAGCTGCGGCGTTGGAACAAAAAATAGCTAGGAATTTAGGAAAGGGAGTGGCGGTTGTTCGTATTCATGTTTTTGCTTTCCTTCTGGTAAGACTGTTCTGTGTATTTTTTTCTTCTTTGTTTTGTTAAAGAAGCCTTCTCTCACGCCTTCTCTGCCCTTTGTTGCTGTGTTCTCTTCAAGCATTTGCTTCAACTTGACCTAATCCGAATGGCTGTTCGAAGGCTGAAAATTGCTGGTTCGGGGACATCTACTTTTTGCAGAGCTGTTTATCGGACTTCAGGTTTTGAAGTAAGAGCTTGTAGGTTGTAGTTGTTCAGAATGGCTGTCGAAGGCTGAAAATTGCTGGTCTTAACCAGCTGATGTGCTGTGTGTGGTTCGGATGCTGTTCCATGTGTTGGTCCTACTGTGTGTAGTTTGGGAAGAGGCAGATGCAGGTCAGGAGTTGGTGAGGGCGTTGCTTATCTGTTTTGCTGTGATGTCTTGTTGAATGCTCTGTTTTTTTTTTTTTTTTTCTGTCTTTCTTTTTTTTAATGTCTTTGTTCATCTGATTGCAACTGGATCAGAACTTATATTTCAACAGTTCATGGGTGTACAAACTGATAAGGTGCCGTTGGTGAATGCTCTGTTGATTGTACTAGGATCTGCTCAAAATGAGTGGAGATGAGTTGATGAAGCAGCGATTGGCCAAGTTCCGTCAGATGGGAGCCTATAAGGAAGTTGAGGAGGTTGAGCCTCGCAAGACCAGAAACATGAAGCCTGCAGATATTCCTGTGCAAGACCATATTAGAACGAAGGTGGTGGTACCGTCTGTCGATGGGGTAGTGGTGAAAAGCGCAGCTGTTGCTGATGTAAACTCAGTGCCTGTGAACTCGACAGCTGCTCATCTCGTCAACTAAACCGATGCAATTTGGGTGCAGTGGGTGAGAGAAAAGTGAGCTTTGTTAAGGATGGTGTATGTTCAGTAGTACTGACAGCAATTATGCTGTTGCAGCCCGCCGTCACGTCAATTGATCTTCATGCACACACGAAGGGTCGTGTGTATATTTTGTGTCTGCATACGTGTGTGTGCATACATTGTTGCTTTATAAGGCCTATATAACTGTTTGTGACATTGAAGCAGCAGATGCTCTAATGTGGAGCAATTCGTGCTGTCGAGTGGCAAACGCAGTCACAGTGCTTTATGGATGGCTTGGTCTTGTCGGCAAGTGGAGCGAGGAGGAGGTAGCGAGCAGAATGCAGAGTGGTGGGATCAGAGGTTGAACAGGAGGAGATCTGAATATTGACTTTGGAAATGAAGGTATGCGGTTGGTAGGGTGACCCTGGAACTAGTATGTGAGGGGGGGTGTGCGGATTGGGATGAAAATTTCTGGGCACTTCGTATGAGGAGCCTTGCGCCACGTGTTGGGCGCTTTTCTTCCTTGAAAGAGGGGGGGGGG